CACAGTGCATAACATGAGGTGGGGAGGGGGAGGCATGTTTGCACAGCTCTTTCAACACGTCATTTCACCTTGGTGGTCTCAAGGTCATCTTCATCCAATAAGACTGAAAACTTTGCAGGGAAATAATTAATGAGGTAGATTTTCAAAGAAAAAAAAATATTTAGTAATAATAATAATTATTATATGTATAATAAAATATGTATATCAGTAGTTTCATGTATCTTTAAGTTTGGTATAGAGGCAGCTATTTATAGACATAATCACAATTGTTTTGTTTTTTCCCCCAATAATATTGAGTTGCACCAGCCAAATTTCCTAAGAGGCAATAGCTACTATCACTAGGTAAGTTGATTAAAAGACTCCCCAAAAAATGTGGGCCTGGGGTTGAGCATTGTTTGGCAAAATCAAAATATATAAAGCTGAGACATTTGCTAGTTTAAAAAAAAAAAAGAAATATTGTAAGAAGCTAAAACTATTGAATGTATGTTCATAACATGAAGCCTACAATTTTTTAATAAGAATTAAAACACAAAGACTGGTAAATTTACCGATGCAAAATTATTAATAATATTTTAAAATTGTTAATTTTCTTCAGAATATAAACTTAAAAAATAAATAAAAGTAAATTAAAGTTTATGTAAAAATCCAGATATATTTGGGGGGGTCAACATTTGCATGAAACAAATAACGCATTCCTGAGCAAACTTTACACAAAAATAAACCTATCTATATTTACATGTGCTGTCGAGATTTGTCTGTTCATTGGACTGTTTGCTCTAACCATTTAAGACATTAGGAAATGATCTCATTCCTAGTCTGGGATGTGCTCTAATTCTGATAAGATCGCAGGTGTGATTTTGTTTTTGTAATGCAACAAAAAAGTGTTGCACCATTTTTTGGGATGAATGGAGAGAAACTAGATGTGTTGCAACTAGTCCAAAAATAATAAATAAAATAAAAATAAAACTGTTTGGGATTAAGCCTACTACTAACCCAACATGTACTTTTAAAGATGAGAATTTAAAAAAAAAAAAAAGCAAAGAAATGGTTAAATTTTCATATATGGTAACGCACACAAGTATTAAAAGTATTATATTATATATATGTATATTTTTTTATCAACACATTACATGAGGTCATTGGGTTTTGTATTTTTTTTTTTCAATTATGTTCTCTTTTTAAAAAAAATGTAAATATTCTGTAAACATTGAGGTCAATGAGGTAAGAGAAAAAGTTTACCAGGGTGAGCATCAGGTCCAAACAGTCCAGTAGTTATGCACCCGTCTGTTTACAATGCGTTACATTACAGGCGATGAGAAATAGCTTTACTGTGTACAAGATATTGTTACAAGACATAAAAGAGCAACAAACTTGCCGGATAAAAATATAATTTAAATATCTTTTTAAAAAATCATATCGAATTGTCCCTGACTGGCTAGAGGAAAANGGGGGGGGGGGAGTAATTTTTTTTTTAAATCAAGGGGAAAAAAATCGTACTGTTGATACATTAAATGATATCCACTGCACTGAGGTAATTAATAAAGCAGCCAAAACTTCAATAAAGCCAGCATCAGTCATCCCTTAAGAACCAAGGAGAGCCATTTAAAAAAAAAACAATGTTGCCATGGCAAGCTCCTTCTTGCTTTCCATGGATGTTTTTTTTTTTTTATATTGATGCAAACACACGAAAAAAAATTGTGGCTGGGATGGGGCAGAGATAAATGTTTCCTTCAAGTTGGGTTGCTGTGGCTGCTCACCACCCTATGGCTGCTCACCACCCTGTGGCTGCTCACCACCCTGTGGCTGCTCACCACCCTGTGGCTGCTCACCACCCTGGAGAACAGAACTGTTGCTCTGCAGCTACCTTGCAGGCGTGATAATCAGTTTTATTCACTTGAATTATTGATATCAACGTAATGACATTTCTTACAACAACATAGATTGGGTACACATTAATGAACATGGCTTGACGGGACAAGATGAGAGGGTAGGTCATTGCTAACAACATTGTTGGTGATAGCAAAATATACACAAATACTTCTCTTCGTAGTTGTAATAGCACATCTCTTTGTAGTTGTAGCGCATCTCTTTGTAGTTGCAGCACATCTCTATGCAGTTGTAGTGTACCAGTGGTGACAATACCTCAAAGGTTTTGCTCTCTTAGTGTTGTAATTCCAATCTTCTGTTGTTTGATGTTTTTCTGGGTAGTAGTTCCCAACTTCCCTTGTTGGAGATTTCAACTCACCATTTCTCCTGTTAGTCATGTAGTTAAAATTTTGTTTCTTCCTTTTTTAAAAGTCTTGTAGCGTCCAAACTTCTATTTGCATTGTAGTTTTAACATCTCTTCACGTTTTACATCCTAAATAAGTTAGCAGCTCTAATGTTCCAGATGTAATGCTCAAGAAATGGTCAGCATGGCTTCAATAATGTTCAGTATTTTAAAAATTATAACATGAACCAACTTCAAGTTATTTTCTCAGACAGCATTGTCGTCATGTATAATACAAGGAAACTAATAGGAGATAGCTTTTGAGCAACACCTTCACTGCCTCACTTAGGTCTTTGGTAGAAAAAACTGAAATTTAAAAAAAAAAAAATATTTATAGCAATGAGCGAATCAGAATATGATTTAGCAAAAAACAATAAAAAATGTCATCTATGTGATTGAGAGTTAGTCAACTCTTCTAAGAAAGAGTGGGTTAGCAAATAGTGTGTGGCTAGGACAGTGAGCCATAAGTTAGCAAATAGTGTGTGGCTGGCTAGGACAGTGAGCCATGGGTTATCAAATAGTGTGTTGCTAGGACAGTGAGCCATAAGTTAGCAAATAGTGTGTGGCTAGGACAGTGAGCCATAAGTTATCAAATAGTGTGTGGCTAGGACAGTGAGCCATAAGTTAGCAAATAGTATGTGGCAAGGACAGTGAGCCATAAGTTAGCAAATAGTGTGTGGCTAGGACAGTGAGCCATAAGTTAGCAAATGACTCCGCTAGGACAGTGAGCCATGGGTTAGCAAATGATTCAATGGTCCACTTTCTTACATGCATAACTTATTGATGTATCAAATATGACAAAACTTATTGACATAAGTGGCCATCCATAAAGGACAGTCGATTATTTTTGCAGATTTGACACCCCCACCCCCACATTGTCATACATTTATCACAAAACTAAGACACTTATCCTTATATGACATCATAAATTTGTGACACACCCCCTTTTTTAATGATATTATCCCCGATGGCATTAATGGTTGGCCCCCACAGAACTCATTAACATAATCACATAACTCATTAACATAATCCCAGTTCTCATTAGCATAAACGTATTCTTAGGATTTAATAGAGAAATGAGAAATAAATACATTTCCTTAACATGATACCATTTATGTTACGTGTTTCTAAAACTATTTTTGGGCATGACATCATCCCACTCACTTTCTGTACTTTGTACCATGACATCATCCCACTTACTTTCTGTACTTTGTACCATGGGCATCATCCCACTCACTTTCTGTACTTTGTACCATGGGCATCATCCCACTCACTTTCTGTACTTTGTACCATGACATCATCCCACTCACTTTCTGTACTTTGTACCATGGGCATCATCCCACTCACTTTCTGTATTTTGTACCATGACATCATCCCACTCACTTTCTGTACTTTGTACCATGGGCATCATCCCACTCACTTTCTGTACTTTGTACCATGACATCATCCCACTCACTTTCTGTATTTTGTACCATGACATCATCCCACTCACTTTCTGTACTTTGTACCATGGGCATCATCCCACTCACTTTCTGTACTTTGTACCATGACATCATCCCACTCACTTTCTGTACATTTGTACCATGACATCATCCCACTCACTTTCTGTACTTTGTACCATGGGCATCATCCCACTCACTTTCTGTACTTTGTACCATGGGCATCATCCCACTCACTTTCTGTACTTTGTACCATGGGCATCATCCCACTCACTTTCTGTACTTTGTACCATGACATCATCCCACTCACTTTCTGTACTTTGTACCATGGGCATCATCCCACTCACTTTCTGTATTTTGTACCATGACATCATCCCACTCACTTTCTGTACTTTGTACCATGGGCATCATCCCACTCACTTTCTGTACTTTGTACCATGACATCATCCCACTCACTTTCTGTACATTTGTACCATGACATCATCCCACTCACTTTCTGTACTTTGTACCATGGGCATCATCCCACTCACTTTCTGTACTTTGTACCATGGGCATCATCCCACTCACTTTCTGTACTTTGTACCATGGGCATCATCCCACTCACTTTCTGTACTTTGTACCATGACATCATCCCACTCACTTTCTGTACTTTGTACCATGACATCATCCCACTCACTTTCTGTACTTTGTACCATGACATCATCCCACTCACTTTCTGTACTTTGTACCATGACATCATCCCACTCACTTTCTGTACTTTGTACCATGACATCATCCCACTCACTTTCTATACTTTGTACCATGGGCATCATCCCACCCATTTGCCGTTTTTATTGAATCAATAATCAAGTAGGTTTTAATTCAATTATTGTAACACAATATTTATATCACTCATTTCTTTACAATTTTAAAATACAAAAGAACCTTTCCCCATTGCCTTGTCCATAAAACTTTTACCTCTATTACTATGTGATAGAACTTTCCTTCCATGCCTAGTTTTAAAACCCTGCTTTAAGATCATGTCAATCACAATATTTCTTCAATTACTTCTCTATAGAAACTTTTAATTCAGTTACTTTCCTGTTCGTTAATTCCCCAAATCTAGTGAACTTTTGAAGAGTTTGCATGACGTTTTATAATTTATAGTTTCTCAGTTGCAATCCATGCCATACAGGTGATACAGAGACTAAGTTGGGAGGTCAAGCCTCAAGAGCACAGGCACATCTTCAACCCAACACGCAACTCTTAGCTGCAGGTCAACTGAAATGACCAAACTATCAGCAACTGTCAGTTTCAGGTCAACTGAAATGACCAAACTATCAGCAACTGCCAGTTTCAGGTCAACTGAAATGACCAAACTATCAGCTATTGCCAGTTTCAGGTCAACTGAAATGACCAAACTATCAGCAACTGTTAGCTTCATGTCACTTGATATGACCAAACTACCACTTACTTTATTATAATTATAGAGTTAAGATTAAAAATAAAAAAAAATAAAAAAAATTCAAGTACTTACAATTAAGGGGATGCTAGAAATCCCTCCCTGAATGGTGTGTAGTTAGGTATAGTATGTGGGTACTTTACATGCCACACCGTGTGGAACATAAACTCTATCTTATCCTGGCAGTGTGTGCCACAAGACGGACACCGGAAAGGGTGATCCTCGTAGGGCATGTGCAAGCTCTCATGCAAGTGGAACATGGTGTAGTCGTAGAAGAAGATGTTACAGTGCTGGCAATGGTGGATACCCCCACTGTCGGCTGTTGGAGTGGCAGAAGTGGTGGTGACGTCCCGTTTCCCGGGTTCCGATTCCGATTCGGTTCCAACGGAAGTAGGTGTTTTTGGAGGCGGCATCGCCACAATGGCAACCTCCTTGTCCACGGTGGAGGAGGCGGTGCTGGACGCTCTCGAGGGAGGTGAGTGGGAGGATTTGTTCATACTTAAGTCCATCACAGAATCGCATGGGTATGATTTGCTGTGCCTCTCATCCTCCAAGGGCCGTGATGGCGCCGTGCTATGTGACTCATGTATTTCCCTGGTTCTGTGTTTGTTAATGGGGTGATGGTAGTCTACGGGGCTCGTCTGGCCCTGAATGGGTTCTCTCTTATGATCCATGACATTTTCGTGATTATACTCCCTGCTTGAGCTTTCATCCCGGCGTGAGCCGGCCATCTCCCTGTCGCTCTCCCGACTGTGTTCAAACTCACGAGGATCCTCCTCTCCCCTCGAAAGATGCCTGAACTCTTCCCTCTCCCTGCTCCTTCTCCCCTGCTGCTCTATATCTTTCTCCCTGTCCGACATTCCCTGAGGTGATATTGGGGGCGAGGTGTGGCGCGTGGAAATTGGTCCGTTGCTATTGTTGTTGCTGGTGCTGCTGTTGTTGTTGTTGTGATGCTGATGATGAAAGTTGATCATCTCCTGAGTAAGCCTGAGGTTGGGGTGAGGTAGACTGTGACCATCCGCCAAATGAGGGTGGGGCCTGTGGCCCGGAGGTAGGTGGTGTCTTGAGCCCAGTGGTATTGTCTGGAGGCCTTCAGCTGATCTCTGCATTGGTCTGAAGCTGCTGAATGAAGGCAAGGACCCTGCACGACTATGAGGTAGATCCATACCATCCGTCTAGAAATTGAGAAACAATTAGAAGGAAAGAAAGAAAAAAAAACTGTAAATTTTGCAAATTTATAAAGTTTAAATCAATCAAATGGGAAATGGCCAAAAGGTTGCAGGTTAATTAACTTTTGTTTAAAATTGCGTTTTCAAAAAGTGCTAGGAAAATGGGCCCATCGCCTATCTGGTGGTGTTTGCCTTTTGTTTGGATTATAAGTGACAAGAAATAACCTGGCGATAGGCTGTTCAAAGCCACGCAAGGCAGTAGCATATGTTTTATTAATATCTTGTCAGCAGAGACATCTAGCAATACTTCACATGTTATCGTCTTGTTAAAGGTCGACGCACATTCGTTAACAATATTTCTGCTCGAGTCAGAAACTTGATGCCTGCTACCAATGCTGTAGTCAAAGACAAGGAAACAGCTGTTGTACTCTCTTCATTCTTCCACTACCAACAAGCGGCTCATTTTTTTAAATGCTTCTAAATTCTACAGAGCTGTGTTAAAGCTTACAACTTCGTATGTCTGCTCAATACATTTGTTAGCGTTGTTTGAAAATATTACATTATGTTTATTAATCCATTGTCTTCTCTGGCCAACGTTTGGCCCACACATCTGCCTACAGCACTGCAAGTTAAGACACCTTGTTTAAGACTCATTGTTTAAGACACCTTGTCAAATATCAAAATATCATTTGTCAGAAAAAAGTTTCAGGAAGGTAAAATATGCTTTTCTGGACGATCTGAGATGCCCACTGACCCCTAAGAGATTGTTATTTAGTGCATTTTTACATTACTAACTTTTAAGTAAGTTTTAACGTTAACTTTACAATAAAGGAGATCAAAATATCTTTCTACCTTGACAGGTTCTAAAAATTACTTCTCAAATCTCAAAAATTACTTCTCAAAATTACAAAGGTTTTATTAATTTGGAATTTTATGCCCAAAAACATAGAATGAAAAAAGCCATTTAAAAAAAAAAAGTTTTTTTTTTTAATTAAAAAAAAAACAAAAACAAAAAAACAGCAAGAAAAAAGCAAGAAAGAAACGATAGAAAGAAAACAACAACGCCAAGTCCATGTCTGTTTCTCCCTGTAAGTTTTACAGGGGATCTCACAACCTGAAAGGGAGGCAGAGTTAAAGTTCTACTTTACTGAGTGCATGACCCTCACCTTGACAATCTGTGAATAATGGCTGGGCAAGTGAGCAGGGGGTGATTGGATGGCCCCTACCGACACAAGTGGCATAGAGGTTAGCGAGCTGGCCCTCACTGGGGAGTGTAGGGCCTCATGATTGTGAGGGGACCCATGACTTAGGGCCCTTTTCTCATGGCCGCTGGCCTCCATATCACTGGGTGTTGAAGGGGGAGTTACCTGGAAGAGTATTATAGAAGTTTTTTATTTTACAGTTGGATATCTTCAACTTCACCACCTTCTTTTTGTGGTTTTCAATTTTACAAGGACAATGTTTAAAAAAAGAAATTCTAAACCCTTTGTTCAACTCTACAGTTTCTATCCTAGGGTATTGCATGGGTCAATGGGTGGAAATTGTACGTGAATACCAAAGCATGCAAAAAGGGTTCAGCAAAAATAAATGGCGACACCAAGACATCTTTAGACTAAAAGGGCAGGGGGAAAAAAAAAAAGAAATTATTTTAGAGACATACAACAAACACGGCCAATGAAACACACGGCCAACTACTTGCCTGTTCAAGTTTGAGCGGACTTCTGGGAGAGGAGGCGGGGTCCGGTGGGCGTGGCCCCACCATGGGCGCGTTGCCAGCCCCTCCCATTCCCTGAGTGTGGTGATACAACTGAGCAGCTTGGCCGCCGCCCACGGCAGCCTTCTGCAGGTACGACTCGTAGGTGAGTGCTTGCTGCAGCAATGCCCGCTGCTGCATGGCGAAGGCCTGGTAGGCTGCCAGGTTGACCTGTTGAGAGTCATTCTGAATATAAGAAGGAGGGAAATTTGTTATTGGTTTAGAAAGATGGCAGGCAATGATTCACACAAACAGGAAAAAGGGGTTGGGGGGGGGGGGTTAAAATATCAATGATAAAGAAACATATCTTTAAGAGGAGCACCAAAAATGTTCATTCATTACGACCATTTCATCAGCAGAACCATTTATGTAATGTGTGGCTTGACAGCTGTTGTTTTTTTTTTAAACGTACATGTTTGCACAGACTAATAATTTGAAAAGCTGCCAAAGAATCAAACGTCCCCAAGCCCTAAAATAGAATCTACACCTCGCGCCAGTGCTCCGCAAAATACTTCAAAGAGTAGGCCACGCCCACATACATCTCGTACTTGCGAGAAGCCATGCCCATGAATTACTGCGACACCCCTGACAGAGAAGTAAGCCCACCCCCACAGCACCAAAGAACAAACAGGTGAGAGAGGACCCGTAACCTGTAGAATCCGCCCATCGAGTCGTCCCGGCCAATGAAGACAGGGGCACTGATGAACAAGCCACGCCTACACTCAAACATCGCATAACTTCTTTCCATCACGTGGTCGATTCACACACTCAGCCTATTTATTTTCGTTGGCCAACTTTAAATCAGTTAATTACTTCGCAAACTTCGTCGCGCGTCCGCATTTTGGTTTGAGAGTAAAACCGTCAATGCTTAACATGTCAGGATTTCGACGACCTCTCCCGCCTCCCCCACCTCCCTAAGAACCTAACTTAAGTACACAGTTACACAGCTTAAACTTAACAAGGGGGGATACTCATTCATCTATCAAAAGTCGGTGGATTCTCGACTCAATTGAGTACACAATCGTGACAGGGCAAGGGGGGGGGGGGGGGCGCGAAAAAAGGGGGGAAGGCAAAAAAAAAAAAAAAAATCTAAGATTTTCTAATTTTGAAAAATCTTTATTCAATTTATTTTAAAAACCTTAACCTGAGGTCAAAATTGCCTCTGGTTTTATAGGTTCCGAGAAATTCAGTCGCACACACCTTCTGCGCATATCGAAAAATGCCGCAAAATCTGTTGTGGCCATTTTACATTCGGCTCAGGGAGGATTTCATTGCTTTGCGTTTCACTTCACAGTTCTCTATAATACCACATCTTAATCCATTGTGGGAAAATGTTAAAGAATAAAATAAAACCTTAGTTTAGTTATGAAAATTTAATGTATGTTTTAAATTTATTTAGGTGTGACGTGATACTAAGTTTGTGGAGAAAAAAAAAAGGGGGGGGGGGATTAGTCACACTCTGTGACCGGGGGAAGATTTTTTTTATTTATTTTTTTTTGGCTTGACGGAATTTGCGAACGACCCCTAACAAAAACATGTCTTAATAGGCTCAACTGGCTGTTGTGTCTCACAAAACCATGTCTTAATAGGCTCAACTGGCTGTTGTGTCTCACAAAACCATGTCTTAATAGGCTCACCTGGCTGTTGTGTCTCACAAAACCATGTCTTAATAGGCTCACCTGGCTGTTGTGTCTCACAAAACCATGTCTTAATAGTCTCACCTGGCTTTTGTGTCTCACAAAAACATGTCTTAATAGGCTCACCTGGCTGTTGTGTCTCACAAAACCATGTCTTAATAGGCTCACCTGGCTGTTGTGTCTCACAAAACCATGTCTTAATAGGCTCACCTGGCTGTTGTGTCTCACAAAATCATGTCTTAATAGGCTCACCTGGCTGTTGTGTCTCACAAAACCATGTCTTAATAGGCTCACCTGGCTGTTGTGTCTCACAAAACCTTGTCTTAATAGGCTCACATGGCTGTTGTGTCTCACAAAACCATGTATTAATAGGCTCACCTGGCTGTTTTGTCTCACAAAACCATGTCTTAATAGGCTCACCTGGCTGTTGTGTCTCACAAAACCATGTCTTAATAGTCTCACCTGGCTTTTGTGTCTCACAAAATCATGTCTTAATAGGCTCACCTGGCTGTTGTGTCTCACAAAACCATGTCTTAATAGGCTCACCTGGCTGTTGTGTCTCACAAAACCATGTCTTAATAGGCTCACCTGGCTGTTGTGTCTCACAAAACCATGTCTTAATAGGCTCACCTGGCTGTTGTGTCTCCCTGCCGTTTTATACCCGTAAATCTTGCCTCTCATGTGAACGTTGCGTTCATGGCGTCGTAGATCGTTGGACTGTGTGAAGCAACGATGGCAAATCTTACACTTGTAAGGACGCTCACCCGTATGGACCCGTTCATGAACCTGGCAGGAGGGAAACAATAGCGAGAGATTGTCATGACCAGTACAATATTCAACGTGTAGGCGGCATGCGGAGACAATGCACATCTGTGTGCTCTCATAAACCTTTCCCCACCCAGCCCCCTAATAGTAGTAGTAGTAATAATAATAATAATAATAATAGTTGTAAAAAATAATTTTAAAATATATAACTGAGCGAAGTTATTTTATGAAATATGATTCGCTGATACCTTGTATCCTCTGAACAAAACGCTTTTGTTATGATTGGCTGATACCTTGCATCATCCGAACAAAACGCTTTTGTTATGATTGGCTGATACCTTGCATCATCTGAACAAAACGCTTTTGTTATGATTGGCTGATACCTTGCATCATCTGAACAAAATGCTTTTGTTATGATTGGTTGATACCTTGTATTCTCAGAACAAAATGCTTTTGTTATGATTGGCTGATACCTTGCATCATCTGAACAAAACGCTTTTGTTATGATTGGCTGATACCTTGTATCCTCTGAACAAAATGCTTTTGTTATGCTCAACTCACACCCTCTACTCTCTCAGAATCTCACTCAAATGATATCCAATCTCGACTCTCTCAGAAGCTCACTCAAATGATATCCAAGCTCTAATCTCTCTGTAACTCACTCAAATGATATCCATCGTATTCTCAGATGATCCCAATTGCTTACCGTACGATGCTGAGAAAATGTGCAACTAAGTGTAATGCCATTACTTTGAGCTTAGATGACGTTAAGAAAGCTACTCTACTTACTTTGAGATTAGATGACGTTAAGAAAGCTACTCTACTTACTTTGAGATTAGATGACGTTAAGAAAGCTACTCTACTTACTTTGAGATTAGATGACGTTAAGAAAGCTACTCTACTTACTTTGAGATTAGATGACGTTAAGAAAGCTACTCTACTTACTTTGAGATTAGATGACGTTAAGAAAGCTACTCTACTTACTTTGAGATTAGATGACGTTAAGAAAGCTACTCTACTTACTTTGAGATTAGATGACCACAAGAAGGACTTGCCGCATGTGTTACAGACGTACGGTCGGTCGGCACGGTGCAACTGCTCGTGTTTACGAAGCGTGGCAACTTCTCGAAAGGACCGTTGACAGACCTCACACCTGTGAGGTCGGGGGCCGTTGGAGGGGGGCAGAGCTTTTAGTTTTGTTTCCTCCATGGCTGGAAAATAAACAAAGCAACAAAACAAGATTGAACAGATCATGTTACAGGACATGTCTCTTTTGTGACATGTAACTTTAAAGACATATTGTAGACTGAAGATGCCGTAACATTATAATATCAAAATTGTTCCACACATTGAAAGATGTCTTCAAATATCAAATTGTTACACACATTGAAACATGTCTTCAAATATCAAATTTTTCCACACAGTGAAAGATGAATTCAAATACCAAATTGTTTCCCCACACTGAATGATGACTTCAAATATCAAATTGTTCCCTCACATTGATTGATTCCTTCAAATATCAAATTGTTCCCCCACATTGAATGATGACTTCAAATATCAAATTGTTCCACACATTGATTAATTCATTCCCTCTAATATCAAATTGTTGCACACATTGATTGAGTCATTCCCTCAAATATCAAATATGAAATATCATGGGCGTATTTCACAGGGGCGTTAATATTGATCGTGATGTTCACAAGGGAATTAACTTAGAATTTGTATATCTTAACCTCGACAAAAATGAAACCTGTGATTCTATATTTAATGTCCTTTATTATTGTGTACATTTCTTATATATAGTTTGCTTCTGGTGTGTCCTGCTTCCTAATAACAACCTTTCAAAAACAGAACGCGAGGCCCGGAGGGATTGGGGAGGTAAGGCAATATAAATAAGGCGGCGCCATGATGGAGATGGTGTTAACGTGTCAATGTAAGACTTATCGTTCATTCAGCGTGCCAATAATACATAAGCCTACCCTTTTAGACTCCCTTTTTAAGCCATTATATAACTTTTTTTTTTTGGGGGGGGGGGGGG